AGAGAGAGAGAGAGAGAGAGAGAGAGAGAGAAGGATGCTGCTTTACAGACGGAATACGAGATAGGCACTGCTCTACAAATGGAATATGAGAAATGGAAGCTGCCCTGTAAATAAAACATGAGAAGGAATGAAACATGTCAAAGGGAGGCCTGATGCATGTTGAAGGGCATATTGATGATGTCCTTGATCATATCTATGGAAAGTGAAGAAATTTTTTAATCGGTCCTCCTTGACATGGATTCAATTCTTATACTTGTGGTGCAACTCTTTGTTTAGATGTTAGTATCTTCTTGTCCGGTACACATGGTGCCCTATCTTGTGAATGGATTATTAAAAAGGATCGTCTACCAAGTGACTATTTAGATCACAATCATTCGTCTTTAAATTTCAGAATGGGACAATTTCATAAAAAAAATTTCAGATTTCTTGAGTCACTCCAAATCATCCAATTTGAAATCTGATGAATAGAATGATTAATTGGGACTTTTATGTACAAAAATAAATGGTATTTTTGTAGACAATCTTTTATAAAAATCTCTCTGCCTCTCTTGTTCCTACCTTTTTCTTGTGCAGAGATACGATTGAATCTTATGTAAAGCAAATTCGAACTAAATACACAATACATGATATACGATTGAAGCACATATAAAGCAAATTCGAACAAAATACACAATACGTTGGAGATCTGTCATGCACCATAAAAGGCGAAGCAGATTGAGAAGAAAAGAAAATCGAGTCCAATGCATACATTCTTCTACTGGCATCTCTCTCTCATTCACCCACACACACACACACATTGTTTCCATATGCTGGGATCTCCCTTAACCACCCACACACATACATTCTTTCCTCATGCTAGAATTTCTCTCTCAACCACCCACCCACACGCATACATTGTTTCTTTATAAAATAAAGGCAACCTAAGAAAACGGACAATAAATTAAACAAATTCATATACCTTTCTCTCTCTCTCTCGTCATGTTAGGAGATGCTTGTTCTGAAATTACAAAGATCCAATGAAACTATGGATCAAATCAGCCATTTGCCCATCATAGGCAGGCCCTTCCATCTGGAAATGGCCAATACCAGGGATGAGATGTGTTTCCACACGCCCCTCTGCATTCTTCAGCTTGTTTTCTAACTGTTTAACACTTGTAAATCCATCGCTTGTTCCCATTATAAATAACTTTGGTTTTCGGGATCTCAGAATGGCTTTGTGGTGCCTCCCGAAAAGTATGGAAGCCATCATCCCAAATGGATAACCAATGCTCACATAACCCACAGCTTGTTGCACCTGATCCACTGCTGAACCAGCAATTGGAGCACCTGATACATCAAAGAACAGATTACTTATCCATGGATGAAAACTTGAGTCCCATTCTTGTTTTTAGTTGTCATTGTGGGCAATCATAAAAATAGGCACACTTTAATCGCGTCATATACAATTGAACAATTTCCCGTTTTCTTCCTTTTTTCCTGTAAGGGGAAAACACCCCCTTTCTGCTTTGCTGATAAACAGGACACCCTTCCTTAAGTTACACCACCATGTATGGTGGTGAAGGGAAGTTTTATTGCTATGGCCAGAAAAGGGGAGATCCGAATGGGGCCTTATTTGGTATTTTTCCTTTCTTTTTTAGGTATCCCTGCGAATTTCTTTGGAAGAGGTCATGACTCATGAGTCAATTTGAAGCTAATTTTTAATACTAATTATCTTCAATCATGGATTTCACCTCTTTGCTTATTGGTCTAGGTCCAAGGAAGAAGAATCCTAATTTACCCAGCAAAAAAAGAAAAAAAAAAACAAAACTACTGATCTTACTTGGATGTTCACACTCATATAACGTTGGTAAAAAACATAAAGAAAATCCAGCCTCAAATTAGTAGCTATTTTCTTGAACAAAAAGAACTTGAGCTTTGGTCACTTGACATAGTGATTATGATAGATGGAACCGTGAAATGATGGTCCCATGTGCCTTGCTCCAATATAAACATTGCTGTCTCCAAAACAAGAAAATCCAATGCTCAAAGAGTGATTCCTAGGCAATGCCCAAGGGGGGAAACATTTGCTCCCTCATGCAAACTCTTGTTTCACATATGCTTTCTAAATGTTTCTAGCAACTGGTCTTTTACGTATCTCCAAGGCAGAGTCATAACACAAAAGATTTCGTAACACGTTGGCCAATGCCTCAAAACCTTGAAAGAACTGATGACTATTCTTTATCCAATTGTGATAAAAGCGACCAAACTATTTTGAGGTCTGGCATCCACAAGACAAAATCCCAAGCATCCAACTCTTGCCCTTCATGTTCCATCATTTTTTAAGTTTCTGTCAAAATATCAATATAAAAAAATACTGCTCAGAGCCCTATGAGGCCACTAGATGCGGACATACTTTTGATACCCGGCCATCACAGAACTTAGATACACAACCCTATTCTTGCATCTCCATCAAAATAGGGACGATCAGATTCTATCTAGGCAAACCTTCCCAATCTGCACCAACATGTATACAGCTAAAACTTTTGAAGGATGGTAAATGGAACAACAGCCGTTTATTTTGTGTGGAGTAGAGATATCAAATAATTTAAAAGTACACTCCTTTTTCACTAACTGGATGCTAAATTGATGAAAGTTGATTAAAGATAGCTTTGATCTCATTCATGTATAATGACAGAAATGGAGTGCTTCATTTGCAATAATCACGTTTTGAATGTAGACATGTGAGCCTAACTCCATATTACTGAGCATGAGACTGTGAAGAGCAGTCATTAACTGGTAGTGAAACACATACCAATGAATAGTATAAATATTTGGATGGAAAAATAGAGCTCATTTACTCCAGATTATGTTGGCCACCGATAAGCCAAATATCATAATTAGGATTGCCATAACTGAGGTCCCTCTTCTCCTCCAGATGTACTTTCAACAGTACTAAAAATTGGGTGACTTATCAAAAGAATATAAAAAAAACATGAAGTGCCAAAATTGGTTGTAGGATCCATTGAAAAGATTGATAATCATATGGTTATGATTTACAAGTACTAGGTGCAATTTGACCATTCTAAAGAATAAATTTATCATGATTGAGTGTCACAAATTTGTGAAGCAAATTTAGACATGAAAAGATGATTAATACATATACAGGTAGTGGTCTAGATGCTAGTGATGGATGAGCAATGTGTACTTTCTTATGGCATTCAAAAGTGAGACCCAAAACAGAGAAATCTAAGACCAATACTTTTCCTATGATGGAAATATAAGCTACGATATGGATCTGTCAACCCGCAATCCATTTGAGTTCCCCAACTTATTCTATCTAGGGAATGTTTATCAACAGAGTCACACTAAGATGCATTTCATAATTTCCTTTCTAACAATGAACTTCCGTGAAAGAGCAAGAAATCTTACAATTAGGGTTCAATTTCTAAAGAAAACTCTGCCAAAATCCTATAATGATTACTAAATTAAGCAGATATCTCTCCATTTCCATCACCAACCCCTGCAAATTTATTTTGAAGTAGGAACTTCCAAAATATAGAAGAAAATCCTGAGATTATATGCCTATTAAAAAAAAAAAAGCATTTAGGAAATAAACCTATATCAAAGTTGCTTGTATGCCTATTCAAAAAAAACAAGCATTTAGGAAATAAACCTATATCAAAGTTGCTAAGAGTCACTCTATTTTCTTCGTTATATAGGCTAAAAAATTTACCTAGTAGTCACTTTGCAAGGTTTTAGTTGATCTTATTGGGTTGGCTTTTAGAAGGCTTCTACTCATGAGCATTTCCGCAAGTTTTTCGAGACCTTACCTAGTCTTCTGACACTATGTTCGTCACTAATAAGTTTTCGCTAAGCTTGTAATAGAACACTTCAATTCTCTCCTGAAAAATTTGTCGAATATAAATGTCTTTATGGATAATTCATTGGTAGGATTCAAACTTAGGATGCAAGTACTGTAATCTTCAACTCCATAATGAATCAAGCCCTACAAAAACCACATGCACAAAGTAAAATTTGTCCTATAAATCAAATCATCATAACAAATAAAAAAAGCAGGCACAAACAAAAAGATGAGAACAAATTTGATATCGATCTCGTCTTGTGAACTCTTTTTCTCATAGCTGTCATAATGCAAAAAAAAATAGATATCATAAAAAAGGAAAAAAGAAGAAGAAGAAAAGTATTAGTTTGAGGTTTATTAGTGTATTGGTTTTTTTAGAGTTTTTACTTTTAGAGTTTTTTTACTTTTTTGCATCTTGTGTCTCTCCCCTTCTCTTCTCCTCTTCTCTTCTCCTCGCTTCTTCTACTACATTCTAGGGAGGCTTGTTCTTCCTTTTTTTGCCCCCCTTTTTGATTCCTCTCTCTACTGCCACCCTGTTCCACTTCACATCTCTTTGGTTTCCCCGCGGCAAAATCTTTTTTTACTCATTGGTTTTGTGTCTAACCATGCTTCCTTCTCTCTCCTCTTAGCTTTTCCTTCCAAAGGTTGCAGCATTTGATCTATATGGCTCTTGGTATCAGTCCAACTCCGATCAGGAGTCATTGCTACTTTTGGGGAGACCCTGTCTTTCTGATACTGTTGTCTTCAATTTTCATCTCCTGCTTAGTCTTTTCAATTAACTATATCTCTTTTCCTCTCTTTCATCTTAGCTTTATCAGCTCAGAATGCTGTAACCTCTTTGGGCCTTGGTAACACCTTACATGTTATGTAGCAGATGCTTCTTTTGGAATGATCTTATGTTCATTCCTCTGTGGCCGCTGAATTGTTCTCTGTGGGTATTGGTTTCATTTCTAGTCAGACATGAAGATTGCACCACAATTTTGAGGACCCTGTGTTTTTGCTATCTTAGCCTTGATCCTTACCTGCTCTGTTGAGGATTTGGCTCAATTCTGGTGCCGAGATGCTCAGAAAGATCCCAGCCCTGTATTTTCTTTTTTGCTTTTACCTTTTTCTTTTGTACTTCAATTGGGGGTTTTCTCTGTTCTCCTGTCTTTCCTCTCTTTCGCCTTCTCTCTCATTCTCTCTTGTTTCACTCTTTCCCCACTCTTCTTTCCTCCCCCCTTGTCTTTTTGTGGATTGTATACGGAGCACCCAACTTGTGGGCTGCCTTTTTTTGGTTTTTTTATTCTTGGTTTTTTTTTTTTTGGTGCACCTCATTTGTGGGTTGCCATTCTTGGATACTTTTGTAATTCTCTTATATTTATATAAAGTTAACATTTCTCAAAAAAAAAACATTTCAGAAACTTATTACTCCAAAACTGCATGGAAATTAAGGGAACCTGGCATAAACCAAAATGGGAACTTGGAATAATATAAGGAATACAAGGCAAAAATTAGGAGAACTGCAACTTGAAAAATTTTAGAAATGTACAGAGAAAGCTTGGAAAATTCTCTTGCATGAATTTCAGAAACAGAATTAAAGCTGCTTCTGAAACAAGTTTATGACGAATTGCATTTCCCATCAACAAACGAGGTTCCCACTCTATGCATCGGCCTACATGAGAGGTTTCTATCAATGAAACCACTAAAAGACAAGGTAGGGTGGGTGGGTTTTTCGAGGGGAATTCTCACCCCCCAAGACTAGAGTCCCTAGTTCTTCAAATTGGTGCCCGCCTGACCCGGGACATTTCAAGCTCAATTTCGATGGATGTTCTTTAGGGAACCCTGGTCCTTCAAGAGTACGTGCGATTCTTAGGAATCACAAGGGTGACACGATAGCAACCATCTCCAAGTTTATGGGACACAAGGACTCCATGGAGGCTGAAGCTATTGCACTCCTTGAGGGCATTAGGCTCCTTCCACTTCATAGAATTGAGACTGTAACAGTAGAGGGAGATTCCAAGAACGTAATCACTTGGGCTAAAAAATTCTCCTCCATTCCATGGATCCTGTTTCACATCTTTGATGAAATCTACCACCTTTGCAGGGGGTACTCGCGTCTCCTGGAAGCACACGTGGAGGGAATCAAACCACGAGGCGGATGCTCTGGCCAAAGCAGCGGCTCTCAGTGGAGGACTTCAATGAACTTTTGGGATAGGTTTCTTTTCGCTGGCTGCTTTGTTTGTCAATGTAACCCTCAAAAAGAAGGCCTTTTATTCTGTCTCCTCTCCTCTCTCTTTTCTCTCTCTCTCCCCCCTGTACTTCCGCTAGCCTCCTGTGGTTAGCTTCTCCGTTCCTTGTTTGTACTCCCATTACTATACATATAAAAGTTATCATTTAAAAAAAAAAGGTAGGGGTGGATGGGTGGGTGGGTGGGTGTGTGTGACAGAGAGACGTGGTTTCATAGTTTTTGCTAATTAAAAGAAAAATATGGTTTCTAATATTATATCATCGTGTGAATGATTGAATTCTGGCACGAGTAAGAAACAACGAACATGAGCAACAACCCCTTCTATAATATTCTTGCAATGACTGGGTAAGGTGGTACCTTATTCTTTTCTAGGGTAAGGTCTTTGTCTTTGCTGAAAACATAAAAATGTACCTCTCCTAGAGAAAATTAATGATAGAATATCTTTGCCAAAAACATACCAAATGATTTAATACCTCTGCATCTTTGCTGAAAAGATAAAAACGCACCTCCCCCAGAGAAAATTAACGATTTAATATCATACCATCCACATGTTAGTACCAAATGAAAAATGTTACCAACAAGAATGGAGACTAAATTTATGGTTGCAAATACACTAAAATCTAGAAAGCAAATCAAGTAGGAGAACACAATGGAGATGAAAAATCAGAAGTGGTCTTGAAGTTTAAATGCAAAAAGTTAAAAAAGCACTTGCAGATTCCAGAAAAAGAAGTGATGCATCAGCCACAAAAATTTTCAAAAAAATTGTAAAGGACACATAGTACATAGAAGATTTGTTATTCCAATCCAGGGCTAGAAAACGTGATATGATCAACGTGCAATGATTTCAACTGTTATGCAGATTCCAGAAAAAGAAGTGATGCATCAGCCACAAAAATTTTCAAAAAAAATTGTAAAAGACACATAGTACATGGAAGATTTTTTATTCCATCCAGGGCTAGAAAACGTGATATGATCAAGGTGCAAGGATTTCAACTGTTTTACCTCATATGCCAATTATTTAAGCTGCTAAGAGAGCTCTTTCAGAATGCAAGGATTTAAACTGTTTTACCTCATATGACAATTATTTAAGCTGCTAAGAGAGCCCTTTCAGAATTATATAAGTTGGTAATCACAATAATCAACATCAACAAAACCAACTCACGTCTCCACTAGTCGATACTATAGCTGAAAGGAATAATTCAAGCAACACCCACAATCACAATTTCATCTTAACCCATTTCTTCCAACTTAAAACCCATGCTCAAACCAAATTCCCGAAAGTTATCAAACCAGTTCAAGATAAATCGAGATAAAAAAAAAACTTTTTAACTGACTTTGCATAAAACCCAAATCTTATATTCATCAAATCATTTCATACTAATCTTAAGCAGAGAAATATAGCCAACAAACAACTAAATCAAAGAGAGAGAGAGAGAGAGAGAGAGAGAGAGAGAGAGAGAGAGAGAGAGAGAGAGAGAGAGAGAGAGAGAGAGAGAGAGAGAGAGAGAGAGAGAGAGAGAGAGAGAGAGAGAGAGAGAGAGAGAAGAGAAGTAAGAAGAAGAGAGAAGAAGAAGAAGTAAGAAGAAGAAGAAGAAGAAGAAGAAGAACGAACGA